GCTCTTTGAGCTTGAGCACCACTTGAATATTGCAGCCCACATGCAACCGTGAGCTTCGCAACTAAAAGACCCTGGTTCCACGTCGGCCTTCACGTAGCGATATGGTCCGGGTCGCCTTCTTTGAACTATGCCTCAGGGCAGATAATCAAGGTTTAATTGTTCAGCTGTAGCACCCTTTCTTTGCCCGGCTGCCATGTCAACGGAATGGGGCACGAAAGCTGAGGTACTGCCAGGTCTCCCAAGCCTAGAAAGGAACAGTCAAGATGCTGGGGTTGGATTCGAACCACGGACCTTCCCGTCAGTAAGCGCCTAACAACCACTGAGCTACCCCAAGCAAAGACTACTAACGACTCCCATATTCTCTCTTTATTGTCTATTAACTCCTGACCACCACTCTTGTAGATCTCAACTGTGAACACGTCGGCCAGATATGTAGGGGTCTGACACTTCGCATGAACTTGTTGGTGTAGCCCTCCGTTGTAGAGCTGAGAGTTCATCACTTTGACTACCGACTTTGTGTTGCTGGGCTTGTTGGTTCCACTTCAATGAAGACTCACACTGACTGAAACGTTGAACGCTGTTTGTTTGTAGTGCCAATTTGTGCACCAACGGACCATAATTGTGATTCATCGAAAGGTATCTTCTGCAGTGAGCTGACTGATCCTTCTGTTCACCAAGAAGAGCTCGGATATAGTTGTAACAGCACGAAATTGCAACATACAGATAGTACTCTCCGGCTCATGGGAGCACGCCCATGTGATTTTGCAAGCGACCTCATCAGAGAACAATGACTGTGGCTTGGATGAGGTGAACATCGCTTGTGATTTCCCCTAGCAAGAAAGCCATTTAATCTGGGAACGGCTGCTACCACTTTTCGATGCGAGGGTTTCTATCCGCTCAGGCTCAGAGTACAATTGAGACAGGTGATCGGTTAGACGGCAGCTCACATATAGTGAACTCGAGGCAGCTTAGTGGCTGAGGCGCGTACTTATTGACGAAAGGTCCGTGCTTCGAACCCAACCTCAACAACTAGACTGCTCCTGTCTAGGCTCGGGCGATCTGGCAGTATCTCATCCCTCGTTCCTCTTTTGGATAGCGTGGCAACTGGGCACCGAAGGGTGTTACAGCCGAACGGTTATTATTGTTTATTATTCAAATGTAGCCTTTGTGGGAACATGGAGACGTGGTGGGACAAGAATGTTGCAGGAATTGAGGAGGCCAATGCAGGTGGGACTGTGTGCAAGCTGTCCCAGGGGATTCCTAGTACAGGAAATGAAGGGCCTTCCATGAGTTAATCAAAATGTTGTCAATCCGATGTATAATAATTACCAGCCTCTGAATCGCTGGGCCAAATGTTCCCAATAAGAGTTTAAGAGGCCGTTCACCCACGTAGCTGTGACTTTGACTAGGACCGCTCATTTTTTGCGGTACTCTGTGTAGATGCCCTATCAGTTTCCGAAGTACTAGTTTACCTCTGCCTTCAAACGTCATCAGGCTGCTTGCCCATATAGGCTATCTTCAGCATTATCCAAAGACGGATGGACTACTGTCTAACGTCCAAGCTCTCGAGCAAAAGGCCTTGGTCGAGGACACTAACGGTTCCCTGTCGTCCAGCTGTAGCACCCTTTCGGTGTCTAGCTGCCATTCTACACGAAGGAGACACGAGGGCTGGGATACTGCCAGGTCGCCCAAGCCTAGACTGGGGAAGTCTAGCTGTTGAGGTCGGGTTCGAAGCACGGACCTTCCGTTGGGAAGTACGCGTCTCAACCACCAAGCTGCCTCGAGCTGCCTCGTCTCAGTTCCAGTGTTCGAACAGGCCAAGTCTCACAGCCATACAAAGAAACAGCCCGCACTGTAGCCTGATACGCACGTCCTTAAGATTCAGGGATCTGCCGCCTTGACACCATAGGTGTCTCAAATTAGCAAACGCGATCCGGGGCTCGCGGATTCGTGCGTTGATTCACCTGTCACACTACAATCAGAATTAATACGACTTACAAGATACATAAATCGCTCCGCAACTCCGAGTGCCTCCCCTTGGGTTATAAGTAACGCGTTCAGGAGAATGATCTCATACCTTGTAGGCGAGATGGCTCAGTGGTTAGGGCGCGAATTTATTAACTAGGAGGTCTGTGGTTCGAACCCGACCTCTGCCTCTCAACTCCCTCTATCTAGGCTTGGACAACCTGGTAGTATCACAGTCCTCTTGCTTCTTTCGGATGACACTGCATAATTCTACAGCTGAACGGGAGCAAAATGCATATCAAAGAACGGACTTTGGTCAGTTCATCCAAAAACACTCGCGCCTTCAACTCCACTTAGAAGATGAGAACGATATCGTCGATAAGGTTTTCATCACAGGCAATTAAAACACCGAGGTTTTTGAGACTTTCCTGCGTTCGTCTTATTATTTTATCGATCACGAAATTGAATAGGAATGGAGAGAGTGAACATCCCTGACGAACACCGCTTAGTGTACGGAAGCTTTTGGAGGGCTCTCCGTATAATCTCACACGTCCGGCAGTCTGAGAATACAAAGAACGTATTATGTTCACAAACTTTTGGGTCATTCCTTGATTGGCAGGCGTGTCAAAAAGACCTAGCCGTACCGCCATTCAGTGCTTAATTGCCATACTACGAGAAGGAAGCGCGAGGGCTGGAATACTGCCAGGTTGCTCAAGCCTAGACAGGAGATGGAGATGGAGAGGTCTGGCTCAAAACACAGACTTTACGGTCAGCAGATCCGCGTTCTAACCACTGTGGCTCAAAACACAGACTTTACGGTCAGCAAATCCGCGTTCTAACCACTGGATCCATCTCGCCTCTGAGGCTATAGGGGATTCCAAGTTCACCATAGAGGGTTCTAACTTGACTTTGGGCTCCAGATGAGTGACAGCAGGTAGCCACCCTAACCGTTTTTGAATTATTCGGCCCAACGGTCTAGACGTTTTTGTTTATTCGAGAGGGTCATTCCATTTCAATCCTTGATGGTTTCGCTCACAGGTGAGTGCCGTGCAACAGGCAAAACTCAGCGCTGTGCAAAGAAGTGGCAATCTCTTCCCAGTATGAATTCACATTTGATAGTGAAGCATTTGGAAGAGACACTAGAATACGATTCTGGTAGATTTGTCTAACATCCGGACCTGCCAGTCCTTCAGTTGCTATGCGATTTCCCCGCACCTTACACGACCCTAGAAAGCGAAGGGAGAAGCGATTTGGACGAGTGTGTAGATGGAATCCACAAATGTGTTCCAAAACGACCGGTGGTCAGTTATTGGTCCGCGTCATCGGTAAGTGATTGCAATGTGGTCGATTTGAGTTTGTGGCCAGCATGCCATTGGATAACACCATGTAGCCAGACGACTCCAGCTATCTCCGAAGTTAATACTGGATAAAAACGGTCAGCGGTCAGCACACGGCTAAAACAAGCATTCATCATTGTCCGTACGTACCGAGGTCATTCCACGTCGACCTGCTAATTGAGTCTCACATTCGCTAAGCCTGTCCACTTGTGTATTCAGATTCTCGGAAGTCACAACGATACCTGAGCTTTTAGCTCGCCGCAACAAGGCATTCAGGGTGTCATAAAAGTTGTCTTTGGTGGTGTCAGAGCTACAGTCAGTTTGGACGTAAGCAGACACGACAAACATACATCGATCAACTTACCACTTTTGAGACTGCTTCACAGACGTGGCCAGATGAACATCACAGAGGCGACTATCAACGGGTATCCAGTCAAGCAAGGATCCTTCCGCCCTATGATTTGGCACGATACCAGGCCCTGCACATCCTGCTGCAACAGTCTCTGGATTACCAGAGTTGCGTAGCTGGAGAGCGATGAGACGGTTAGATCAACCACTGTGTTTGTATCTTGAATTCTTGTTTCTGGGACATAGAAAGCATCAGTGCCAAGCGAGTCCACTGTAAGACCAAGAGCAGGTTCTTGTCCTGATTACTTCAGAATGCGGACATTGGTTGCAGCTAGATAGACCGGACGTCACGGCTCAATTATTGATTCTAAGATGCCTGAGGATTTCGGCGTCGGATGACGGGCAGTTGACGCACGTAAAACCGATGCAAGAAGAATGAAATCATCAGCCCTGGCACGAAAGACTCTGCGAGTGTTACACGAACGCACTCAAGTATAGCTCAGTGCGTGAGGCACACAAAGCGTCACACCATATAAGGTCTAGTCCCTTCGTGACAGGAAGCAAAAATAGGTGCAGCAAAACTACAGAGACATACAAGGTCGACATTTCTCGGACATTTCACCTCCAAACCCCCCAGAAGAAACTCAAGCGTATTTCTCGTGGTTGCATGAACTACATCTTGATCGGAGCTTCTTCAGTCTTGCTTCAGGGTACCCATCAACCTAATTTTGCGGTTTGCACATTTGCACACTTGCTGTGCTGATACACTCCCAGGTGAACATCGGGACTGAATACCTCTACAAGACTGAACAACAGCTGATAATGCTATGTATTCCAGCGTTTAAACGTACGAATGAGGGCCTTATTAACAAGTCAGTGTCTCATTTCCTACACTGGGGACACTTTTTATGTCGTACCGAAATTACCGAAGCCGCTTCGCACAATGTCCCTTTTGCACGTGGGTCAGCCTCCGACACAGATAGGCCATGGCCTATCTGGCTTTATGTGGTGTGGATCAATTACCGATTGTCGGTCTTTGTGAAACACTCGTGTTGGATCAGATCACGCGCCTCGTTGCAAGATGCGCACGGCTCTTCTGGACATTGAGAAGCTCTCGGCCTATTGAAGTCCCTTTCAGACAGTACATCTTACTGGGAATTCCTGTCCGCGACCCTGAAAGATCCTGGACGCTCTGCTTTTGGAACGGCGCAAACGACTCGATCTAGGCACTGAATCTCGAGGACGTTAAAATTGTTCGAAGCTCGAACTAGTCGGTAGTGCCATACAACCCGCCGAACTGTCAGACGTCAGGGCGTGGATCGGGAAGCCTGGTCGGTTCAGAAGCCGTAGGAGACTAGGGGAGACGAGAAACCATGGGAATTTGCACAAACCATTCCAGACGATACGCGCAATAAGTCCGAAAGTCTTTGGTAAGTCAAACAATCAGTGATAGAGAGTGCTGTTCATTTAAGCAATTATTGAATCGTTGGCTTGAAAACTTTCAGCAACAGTTGTCCAGTCGTATTCCTCAGCAGCAGCACGGTCCTGAACAGGGAACCTAGAGTCCCGATGCTTTCGGAAATGGGCGAATAAAGTTTCTTCCTCAAGAGTTACCGAGCTGCTGTTCCCCATGAACTCCAACTCGGGAGTTTAAAGATGGAGGTGAAGTCTTCAGTGGGTGCTTGTCCCACAATGCCTCCGGGTGGAAGAGACTGTCCCAACCCACTAGAATGAATCGATGGTAGTGCCCATTTACAAAATGGGCACTCTCGGTGAGTGTAACAATCCTCAGAGTAATTGTCTTGACCCCTGTTGTAACCAGACTGGCGTGGCTTATCTTACGTCGTCTTACGAAGGCCAGTGAAAACAGGACCAGGGAGCAGCAAACAGGATTGCGTCCGGGTAGATGCTAAGTGCACAACTTTCTTGCACTCCGCCAAGTGTTAGGGCAACAACATACGTATAGGGTCATGCATTCGTGATGTTCTTTAATCTCAAGAATGCGCTCGATTCTGTCGACCAGTTCGTAGTTTTCTACCCTCTTGAGTATGTTCCACAAGTTCATGAGTATCATAGGCCGTATGTATTTACATACTATTGGCGCTTGAGAGTATAGAGAACTCTTCAAAAGCTTTCTTGAGAGAGATGTCTGATAATAGTGCATGCTCTATTGTTCATTTTTTCCATTAATGTGAACCCTAGGAGGTCTCCGAAATCCCAATATCCAGATCCCTCCAACTGAGAACGTTGTCGAGTTAAAATATACAAACTTCGGTGTGTACTCCGTATGCCATTTCGACCGACCTCCTCAGGCTTTTTTCGCACAGCCACGAGAAGGGTTCAGACAAGCCAATGGCGATAACTTGGCGGCGAGATAGATAGGTAGTTCATGATTGTTGGTAGCGTTCAGCTGTAGCACCCTTCCGGTGCCTAGCTGCCATGCCACCAGAAGGAACCACGAGGGCTGGAGTACTGCCAGGTTGCCTAAGCCTAGATAGGATAGGTCGAGTTTCAAAGATCGGGTTCGAACGATGGATCTCCCGGTCGATAAATTCGCGCTCCAACCACTGATCCATCTCGCCCCATTACCATTACCAGCAAACTCGGCTGAGTTGATCATGGCGGTCTCCGTGGCTTTGGACCCCATAATGCGTCTTATCAATGGCTGGAGACCGACGTACATGGCTCATTCGCGTGTTCAGTGGAATGTGCGCATCCAAGCTGTTATCTTCGGTGCATATCCTCCCCTTCCGATCTCTTCAATGAAGAGTTCACTCTCACTCGTGGATTCACTTATGTGAATTCATTCATTTATGTCAGCTCCTGCATTCAGTGCGTAACCATCCACCCGTTTCTCCCAGATCATCGGCGAACGAAACTGTAGCAACCGTAGCCACAGTACAACCTGTACACGGTTTTTATATTTCGAAGATGACGATTCTGATGATGAAATTGCATTGTTATCATACTTACGAAGGTTCACAGTGAGCAGACGCCACTAGGAAAGCTGACCGAAACTATGCAGTTCTTTGGCAAGTTTTATTCGCCTCCAGGTTTTTGACCACTGTTGTTTCAGAACTAGATCTGGGGTCAGCTAAAACCAACGCACTCACAATGAGGTGATTGGGAGGCGGATTTTGGTTGAACTAGACGACATTTCACTCGAAGAATGTATCCAGCATTGCAAACTAAATCGGCCGGGCAGTTTGTTACGCATGCCGGGTTATCGACCATCAATACAAGCGGTGACTTTCATGCCCAGTTTTGAGTGATGGAAGCCTGGAGGTGGACAGAATTTGGCGTGGTAGAGGGGGATGAAGAATGTCACGGAAAGTGACATCCTCTCCCTCCCTCACTTTTCCTCTTGGGACTATAGGACCTTATCCAGCTGAATTAGTTTTACGGTAACGAAGTACCAGTGCTTTAATCATGTTTTGCTGCCAGTCATGGTGATGCTGCAGTCCACGTCCAGGCATTCTAGCATTATCCCAACCGGCGTAAAACCATGGATGTCACAAGTTAGAATATTATCATGCCCCTTTGACCGTCTCATGCTGTTATCAGCTGGGTTACCTTGTAGCGTACAGAAGTATGGACAAGCGAAAACAGGCTACTGATGACGCCTCACTTCTCTTTGACATGATTTTTAATTCCTTCCCTATCACCCCATCAATAGCACTCCTTGTGGACCCATTCATTAGGACTGACAGCGCCGTTCGTTTTGGATCACTTTTGGCCGCAGTCTCAGTGCCGGCCTGTGCTACTACCTCAAACACCTTTAAGCCTCTAAACTTGGTCTACACAGTAGCTTTTAATGTTTGCACTCTGAAGCAAGCAAGACAAGCTGCTATTGCTCTCACACTGGACTCGCTTAACATTGACCTGTGCTGTGCAGTGGTCAGCATAGTCGTAATTCACCTGGCGGAAGGTTCCTTGCTTGACTGGTTACTTGTTGCTGATCGCCTCTGCGCGGTTAGCCTGGCAGCGTCCATGGAAGGGTTTCACAGACTGGAAGTTGATTATTGTCTGTTTATCTCGTGTGGTTACGCTCTAAACAACCGTAGCTCTGATACCATCAAATACAGGTTTTATGGGGCATTAAATGCCCCGTTGCGGCGGGCTAAAAGCCCAGTTATCGCTGTGGTTGTCGGAGGTCTGAATGCATAAGTAGGCAGGTTCAGAGCCCCTTGAGTGGTCGACCTGGTTTGGATTCAGTAAGTACGGACAACGGTGGACGAGTGCTCCAGCTTTGTGCTGGCTTCAGACTGTTTTTATGCAGCAATAAATTCCGAAATAACGGAAGTCTTCTGGCAACATGTTATTCTCCAACACCGTACCAGCTGCTACAAAACTGGGTGGGATCAAACCCACACCCCATGCTTGCAGGCGAGCCAATCGACGGGGTAGATAAATTTCTTTACCTGGGAAGCTGCATAAGTTCCGATGTATTGGCTGGAGATGAGATTATTTCTCCAGTCGGATAGCTTTTGCCAACCACCGACACATAAGGCGCTGACGTGACATCAGTTTGTCTGTCAAGGGAAGAGTTTACACTGCAGTAGTGCGATCCATACTGATTTATAGGTCAGATACATGGTCCCTACGCGCAGAGAAAATACGTAAGATGTCAGTGTTTGACCGTCGGCATCTCCGAAGCATTGGTCAGGTCCGGTGGAAACATTGGATTAGCAATGCTGATGGTCTTAGGATGAATGATAGATGAATTACTCACACTTCATAGGTGATGCTGGTTAGGACATTCACTCCGCATGCCAGAAGACTGCCTGTCGCGCAGAGCTATTTTCGCCAAGCCCTGTGCCGGGTGGAAGTGACCGAGAGGTTGACCTAGCAACGAAAACACTAATCAGTAAACTTAGTCGGGTGGGCAACCGCCGCCTCCCTGGGTGGGAACCCCGGTACTCAAACCACCAATGGTTAATGACATTTGCAGAAATGAGTGTTTGTCGCACACACGCACAGTTTCCGGCGATCGAAGTTGTAGCAGCTGCAACCAGTGTGCATATTGTACACGGTTTAAAGCCGATAAATTAATACCTGTCACGGACCCAAACTGATCACATCGCCATCAGTTACTGATGGAGCGGACTAACAGCTGACGGCCGGTCGTCACATCGCCATCAGTTACTGATGGCGCGGACTAACAGCTGACTGCCGGTCGTTTTGGAATACATGTGTGGATTCTGACCATACATTCGTGCGAGGTTGCCTTTTCCCCCGCTTTCCATGGCTGCTGAATGAATCAGTTCAGAGGCAGTTCAGAGGCTTACCGACCTCGGAGTGAGACGAACTTGTCACAACCGTCTTAAAGCCTCAACTGCTCCCAAGTCAGATTTCAGTTTGCGCTGGAACGATATTACCACATCTTTTCATAGAGCAATGGGATGATCCGCTGGTTGCCATTGGTCTATCACGGCTCTAAGATCCTGATGCGCCATTTGCTCGAGCCTCAATGTTACTCAAGCACCGGGAAACTGAGCGGGATACGCAGGCAACGTAACGGAATAACGTGTTGTGTATGGCAAATTGTTGTCATGTTATTCCTCTAGGTTTCGTATGATACGCCTCGCTTTCAGAATAGATTGGGTTTACTAACAGGACAAAATTCCAGTTGAAGTTTGATGTTGACCGAATCTATCAAACCCTCAGGATCACAGAAATTCGGGACATTCATGTTCAGAATTGTGCGACACGCCAGAGAACAAGCCAACGGAAGCTACTAAGATACAAAATACATCGGATAAAATCAAGGCCACTGGAATACAATTCCAAGCCGAACAAGGATTAGTAAATTAGAGGACCTACCAGAATAAAGAATGGCAACTGCATCAAACAGAAGAGTAACTTGTGAACCGATTGGGAGCCAGACCACAATGCAACAACAATGGCAAAAGGTTCAGTGAAGTCAAAAAGAGAAAACTAACAAAAATCAATAACAGGATGACTGACTGGAACATAACACTCAAAAACAGCAGCGGAGCGGACCAACTGTGGTAAAGAAATAGAACCATTGAAATGGAGAGTGCCCAACGAATCAACAAATTCAACGTAATTAGATCAGAACGCAACACGACTTCATAATGGATTAGTCAAACTACATGCTAGCCTACCCTCAAACAGCCAGTCACAGATATTAAGTCCGCTTCAAAGGCTATCTAAACGCCAGCAGAAGTACGACGCTGATGATGTCCCCTCACATGTTGACACAACATTTGCAAAAGAATTTCTGATGTCCGCCAACAGATCAGCAGTCAACATGTTGAACTGACAGTTGCTAACTGGTTGCGGCAACCAGACGGTTAGCCATAATAATGTGGTGACTTACTTTTCAGCTCAAAAAACACGTCCAACCTGAACAACTCTGTGCATAGTTCACCTCATTATACAGGTCACAAGTCATTGTAAGATTGTCGTTAGGTTTTGCCGTAAAAGATGATCGGTTTGGCCAATTATGTCCAAGTTCGCTGTTCCTTACTTATTCTGTTCAGTTTTCCTCATGCTTTTTCCTTCTATCCTTTCAGCCGAATCGTAGAATGTCAATTCAGTTTTGTTGCAACCGTGTGAACCAGCGTGGAGATATCTTTTGGAAATATTACACAAGGGAATCCTGTGGCATCTTCATGCTAATTCTTTATGGGTCCAACCTTCCGTCGTGTTGAAGACCGCGGCGCTCGGCATGCGATGAGAGTCGCCGTGCCTAATGGTTCCGTTGGCCACCGACACTCCTATGCTGATCTACACCATCCATTGGAGACATTTAGCGAAAAGCACATACCCCAGGATGTTGAAAGTATGCCCACTCCAACGAACTTGGTAACCCAACTTCGCTCTTCCGTCGGAAACAATGTTCTCAGACCGTGTTTTAATGCATTCCCGGACGGGAGTACCACAAATAGGGAAGAACTCATTGTACATGAGGATATCTCTCATGTAGTTGGATCAGACGCAATCCCGACTGGAGCCGAAAGGCATAACGTACATCTACCGTCTACGTGCACATCGGAGCCCGTTGATTCTCGTGTTCATAGCTCCGGTGAAGCAGATATCACTTCCACTAATGAGGTTGATCAGTGCTGCCTTTGTTTCTGTTGTCAGTCATGCAGACCCTCCAAAGCCGGGCATGTTTTCTGTGACAGCAGCAATCTAAGCAATTGCTCCGGTCTGCGTGCGATATTGTCTTCATTCAGCTGTTCTTTCTTGCCTGTTTTGTTTGATTGTCGTCTCAGTCGGTGGTATCGGCGAAGGATACCGAACGAGAATCTTCTAGTTCTGAGCATCATCCAGGTGCTATGTGGATTCGCGTCTATTATTCTCTCCAGTGTTGCCCTAACGAAAGCTGTGTTCCTCTATCGCATGGCAACCGGTATGTGGGCCGGTTTCCTCATGTTGATTACCGGTACGCAAGGTCTGATTGCTTCAAGGCGTCCAATCACCTGTACGTTGGTCGGTCTTTTGGTCTTGTGTGTGATTACCACATTAGCTGCATGTCTCCTCATCGGGGTTTCAGTAGCCGGAACCATCGAGGATGGGTTTCTGGAGCAAAACAGCGCAAAATCGAGGAGCGTACACCAGGTAGTCAGGCTTATTTTCGCATACCATGATGATGGAAAGCCCTTCAAAGACCTTTACTCACAACCAGATCATTTTATCTCGGCCACTCCTGTCAACTGGACAGGCGCAGGCCTATCACACACGAAGTCGATAAATCCGGGGCTGCGTACACATTTTTCTGACTCACATCTGCGCACTTGTCAGGTCATCTTACATGTGCTGTTGCTTCTGGTGGGCATACTTAACTGCTCTGTTAGTCTCTCGACCTCTGTTCTGTGCGGCCGATATGTTTGTTCCAGATCTAGACGATTTACTACCGATCAAAATCACTACACAAGCCGAACGAATATCGTGTCTTTTGACAACGCGACGGCCAGTCAGGCGGTTAGTTTGCTGCAGTCTGGCGACGTGCGCCATTTTATTGGCTCTGGAAATATCTTACTCGCTGTCGCGCCAGACTCACTCAGGAGACACGAGTTAGATCTGGTGCGCACTAATGACAACTATACGCGTCTGGATCCATGTCTCCACCATACTGTTTCTCCGTTTCTCCCGGAATCTAACAGATCTGCGCTTATCCTGACACAGGCCGGAACAGGTGCAATGGCTTGGACAGCAGCCCGTGCTGCGGCCACCCTCTTGAGTCAACAAGAGTCGCCGAGGTCAACTACCCTACCAGAGGATTCTCAGTATCGAGAATCTACCAGCTCGATTTCGAGACTCGTTCGAGCAAATCTCAGACCCAGGAAAAACCAGCGACCGAGACTCCTGCTGACGTCATTGAATTCCGAAACAGCTCACCCGAGTCACCTATCTGCACCACCGTACCCTTCCATAAGTACAATGCTTTACGTGATGCCATCGCCTACCAGTGATGAGCCGCCTATGATTTTCCCCCCATTCCCTCCCACATACAGTTCACTACAGAAGCGTCCTTCTACGTCTATATTTTCTAGAATCCCAGAGCCACGAAATACACGACCACATGACAGAACTGCCGAACAAACATCACCTGATGTTCTTCCCGCAAGGGCCCCCGTTGCGTGCGTTCTATCTCGTATTTTCCGAAGACGGATATCTCGCCGCCAGAGATCGTCACACTCTCGCCGTCGAAACACAGAGAGACGAACTTCGCAACCCCGTAGAGCCGCTTCCTCACTCATGTGTGCCGTGGACAGGCTTCTGCAACCTGTGCTAATTGTCGAAGACCCTGGAGCCTGCACATCTCATCAACCCGGTAGACCATCTAATCCTCCCGCGTACTCTACCCTCTATCCGGACTGCACCCATCAATCAGATCCTTCTGCTTAATTATTCAGAGTTCCCTCCGTTCCTTTTTGATTTGTGACCGTCAGGTTGCACTTGGCATTCATTGAACTTTATCAAGGGCATGGGTAGTTACGTGGTGTTTTATGATAGAAACGGAAGGCCGTCGGCCACTTGAGTTTGTGCATTTGCTTCGGTATTACCCCTACTGATCACAGGACAAGTCCCAGTGGAAAAACTCTCACCTGTAATACAGTCCATTCGCACAGTAGCATTTTACCACTGCGTTGGTGTATAAAACTATTCCACATCCGTGTTATTTACCAGAGTTTGTTTTGTTTCTTTGTCCTCTCACATTTCACTGCCACTGATCTATATATTTTTTTCATTGTTCAATAAAGTTCCATGAACTGGTCTTTTCCTGTTCGTGCACTGTGGTTCGCTTGGAGACGGCACGTCCTGTTGAACTGCCGTTGATGTAGCAAGATTTTGCGAGGAACAGGCTACGCGTATAAGCTGTTAGCGAAGTGATGGGAATCATCCTTAGGGAGAGGACATACAACTGAGGATCTAACAATCAAACATTATCGCACTGCGGACCCCGCTCGCTTGTTTCACGTCAAGTATTAAGCACCATCAACCGGCTGGTGCCACACTATTCAGCACGCCTTCCGTCAGTTATTTTTTTTAATCAGCAGATGTCTCTCAACCGATCCCGAAGATATTAGTCTGCCCAAGATTGCTTTTAGGCTGTTGTGCACGAGTAAAAGATAGTTTTACCAACTACATTTATTGCGTTGGATTTGTCACCTAACGCGGCGCCTGGTTCTGGAACAAAAGTTTCTACCGTTCGAGAAAAAGGAAGCAGTACGGTAGTTCAGATAAAGAACAGACGCAGTGGAATGAAACAAGCGAAATAAACTGTACAGGAAACTTCTTCCACTGTGATATTGTTTTCAGTGAACTAGAGCATCACGGATGAAATTTCGTCTTTCAATCCACTGGTAGGTTCTGTTCTACTCGGTACGGATTGGTGCAAACGCGGTTTCGCAAGAATATCTGTAGCGCGGTGAAAAAGTGCTCCCGTCGAAGGCGCATGTTGACAGCATTTTCACGCGACCGCCTGTTTGGAGGAGTGCAATGTAAAAAGACGGTAACACAAAATAGCTCATTTCATGTTTTACGGGTACGTGTCCGCGTTGAATCGTGAAATAAATGTACGTCAAAGAACCACTAAGTCGTCGGTATTTGAAAGGTTGTAAGCCGACGAGTATTGCGAAGATTCACTAAGTTACAGTGGCAATTCCTAGTCAAGGTTACGCCAACTCATTTAGTGTCTAGCGAACATGTTCTGGGGAGAGATTCAACGAAAATCCGAGGGAGGAAATCTTCGCAGTGCTTTGGTTGGGCCGAGTTCACGTTTGTTGGTTCGATCAGTCACGTGTTTATTGGCCTGTGTGGGGGTGAGACTTCACGAGAAGGGATTACCCGCAGTTGGTCCCCTTAGAGTGAACACCAGCAGTATGCATGACTTGAGGCCTAGTGGCGTTTATACGGTTTTTTTCACCTCATGCGATCCGTCCCGTGTCCATGTTCAATCACTAGGGGATCTATCAAATGGCCTTGTGAACCCACGCTAACTCGTGATTCATCATCGATTTACGTTGCAGTTTACTTCAATGGCCCATGTCCAGGCACGCTTCGGCGTCCGGTCTACGTTCAATCGCAGCCTTGAAAATCACAAGTTGGTCTAATAATGTAACTGAAATAATCTCACGAGCGCCAGGTCACTCACTGCTTACTTGTGTTTGTACATGCCACAAGACTAGTTACGACAGTAAGGACAGTATTTATTGCGCCTTGTGTTCTATTGCAGTAAGCTGAAACCTAAGACACTATTATGATCGTCGGTGAATTTAGGTGGTCGCCTGAAATAGGGGTAAACAACTACTGCAGTTACGTCCGTTTGCAGCGGCAGCACACATGCTATTCACTTTCTATGAACCCGAACTGTAGGTGTAATAACTTTAGGCATTGTACTATCGCTCTCACCGCGTGTGGAGAATTGGTTCTAGAGAACAGCTTACAGGAGGGGAAAGCAGGTTAGTCAAATTTGGGTAATCTGAGTGTTGCTTGGTCTGTTTGCCAGTCTCGGTAAGTCGGTTTCACACGTTTCGTTTCTAATCAAGAAGACATTGTCAATGTGGGGTTGTAGCACCCTATCGGTGCCCAGCTGCCATGCCACCCGCAGGAAACGGGTGTATAACATTCCGAAAAAAATTCAAGGGAAACCACCGAGGACGCCATTTTTGTATGAACACGTGACAGACATCAAAAGCCCAAGTACAACTACAGACACGAGAACTTACTCAAGCCGATAACAGCAGAATGCAGCCTCACGACACAGTTCGTTCAAGTCGCTTCCGGACAGGCCATCAGTCTTACTTGCGACTTCCCGAATGTCGGCATCCGTGAGTCCAATGGCCAGCGGCTCGCCACGTAGACAGATTGACAGAATTTGGATGCGCTGATTTATATCAGGCATGGGAACAGACACCTATGGTGGACACAGTAACTTAAGTTGCTTTCACAAGCCTCAAGAAGGCCTACAAGAAACAATGGCTCACACGTTCCAGTTGAGAAACTCATGTCTATCTTTGAAACGGTATGAATGGGACAGATAGCTCACAACGCATGCGATCAGTAAGCAGGACGGAGGTAAGAAATCACCCTAATTTGTCATCTACCTCCAACTTACTTTCACGTGATAACCTCCTGGACAATATTAGAATACATCAGGCCAGATCAAGCCATGAGATCAACTTCGAGAACACTTGGTGCAGGTCTGTCTGATTCACTACAATATCAAGATTTGGTTCTCGGAGATTTGAAGGACTTGAATAAATAGGATGTTTCGACTTCAAAGACATCAAACCGCGTTTTCGCGTGGAATCATTAACTACCAGCGTCATCATCACTTGATCTTCATCCAAATGTGAACAAGTGTAGGGAACACCGCCAACTAGGTATTGTGACTGAACGGTTTCTCAAATGCAGCGATGAGTTTTCAATTTAGGGTACGGACTATCTCTAATTATCAGCTGTGGTTTCTGAACGAAAACGTGCCGGACGAACTTGATGCCTAAGCAGGTGCAAGCAGCCTGAGTTCAGCATGTGATGAAAAGCCAAGTGGGGAGTCTCATTCCTGCCTTAAAGATACACAGTGGTCCTTTGTGCTTCAATACTGACTCCAAATTCATATCCAGTGACGGAATATTTTTACAATGCAGGAGATGGTCAGCTTTACGGAAGCTAGCTTCAGTTTAATGATTAATTGGATCGGGCCAGATCGACACAACTCACTACTACGTCATGAGATCAATGCGACCGATCCGTCCGCGACACAAATGCGTAGCTTTATGTATCAAAACAAACGCCACACCCAAGCGTTGGGTTTTCACCTTCGGAGGACCAGTAGCTTAGGGTAGGAATTGTCAAAACCGTATTCTCATTTTCTCTTGCTTGTACACTCAAGTAAACGAGAGGATAAGGACATATCATCGTCGTCGTTATACTCACCGACAGCACATCACTGTTCAAAACGGATATTTCGCTGCCGTAGGGAGACCGAGCGACAGTACCTAGAAGTTTTCCGTCATATTGCCGGTACCTTGTACAGTGTAAAAATTCATGGCCTCAAACCGTCCTTGCAACACTGTTTGTCACTAGTCGCCTGGATAATATGAGGCCACGTCGCATGCACGCGCACATCTTGTCGCAATTAATATTTGATAGTTGGAGAGACGTAAGTTCTACCGTATCCATTCGGTTACCCGAACTATTCTTACAGGTAGCAAGATATCCATGGATTTGACCTCTCTCTGTGTTGCCGGTTTGACACTCATTGACAGCATTTTCCATGATCTAGGACAATGCATTCCGGCCGAGTGAACATTGTACGGGTGACGTAGTGCGCTGAGAGCTACTGCTAAGTACATAGTCGATCAATGGTCGTGACTGATGTAAAACGATCTACAGAATTAACATATCCATGGACTGTGCGAAATCTTAAGGAACAATCCGACTCCAACAACCACCAACGGGCGTAAGGATTCAGGCGCTAGACGCGATACGTACGACACAAGTTTAAATGTTGGTCAGTTCTAGTAATTTAACATGGAGGGCTTTGAAATAGAAAAAAATATTAGCGGTCAGGGGAGAACACGTTATTGTATGGTCTTCCTCGGTTGATGGTGTTTCCTACATCCTGACACTTCAGAACATAGACTGAATGGACGTTCATCAACCAACTGATGACTGTGGCATCCAAGCGTTAAGGTAGCATTGTGTGGAAGTGGCATTCCGGATATGCTTATGGAAAGAATGACGCACCTAATTTCACAAAATACCACCACCAGTACACCTCGGAAGACAGATTAATCAAACAGGATCCCACACCGAGTATCCAATCACCAAATGAAGGTTACCTGACGGAGACTCGTGGGCCATTTCTGTTAGTTTCTAGAAACCAGCCGTGGGTAAACAAGGGTAATTAATCCGAAGCCTACTGTTATCTTGGTCTAACAAGAATCAAGCATGTGTGCGAACAGTTGATGACCCACACCGCCTAACTGCACGCATTTTGTCTTACTGACCCATCAGAAGTCGGCTAGTATAGATCACCCCATTGGTCAATTATTTTATGGCTAACATCTGACACCAGCGTCTTTTCTTCTCGTTTTCGCCTGCTTTCTGCTTGAGAAAGTACTGTTGCATCCAAACTAAAAGAACTTCGTTCCAAAAAGTGACTCCTTTATATGGCATTCTCTTCACTTGAGCACCGATTTCATGCATCCAACAAGGGTACACGGCTGAGATTTTGGGGAACCCATCGGAAACTTACAAGGGAATCTCTGAGGCAAACTTCTGAAAAAAAGTAGCGACAGCTTGACAGCCCGCGCTACCAACCGCTCAAGGTTACTATAAACACCGTGAGTCCAGCATCATTCTCTGCCCGTTTGGAGATCGTCTTCACGAGTTCACTGAAATATGGCAATGCAGCACCTGTTCGGTGTACTCAGGCTAGCTTTGCCAGGGAGAATAGTGATCTTACCGTGTGTTGTACTATGTCGTTTCCCAGGCACGGGAAAAAGGGGACCGCTATTCGAACCCGATCAGGTCATGATATTCAAACTGTTACGCATGCTTAATTTCTGGGCGTCTTGCAGATACAAACATTCCTCAGTTTAACTTTTCAAAAAGACTGTTCTGTAATAAAAATAGCTTTGGATAGAACCACACGGATATGTAAAGCGTAAGTGGATAAACGGAGAAACGTACTTTGTATGGTAGTCTACGTAAGATGGCTTGATCTAAATCTTGCGGCCGATTGGTCGCACCAACTATGAGTATTCGTGTGTTCTCCTCTGTCAATAGTCCATCCCACAAGGCCATGAACTGTGTTTTGATCATCCGAGTAGACTCGTTGTCCGTGCAACTTCGAGTGGTTAGAAACGAATCTAGTACGAAAAGTTGAGACAAATAGTTACAATCCCAGGACGCCACACACCCACTCGGATAGACGATAAGGAGTCGTTTCTATACATATTCAAGGAGCATACAGAGTACCTCTGGCATCTGATACAAATTACGACAAGCCTGATGGGCAATATATGCACAGGAAATACAATAGCAGCCTTAACTCACGGTTGCGAAACCGCGACTCCATGATTTAAAAACCTTAAACATTTCCAAGTAATTGACACCGGTGTCACTGTAGGAAAGTAGGGGATTGCCCACTTCCAATAGCGCGCAACAAAACGGGGCGTAATGGAGTAATAAGCAGAATTTATGGAGGTTGGGACAGACATTTTCCTACTGCAGGAAAATGAAATTACAGGCCAATCAGGACCTAATATCAAGAAGCCCCTGGTAAAATCATAAACAGAGGGAATATCATATCACAGGTAGAGTGCGAATGACAAGTGGGGTGCATCGGTCTACTCTTCAATGTGAGTGGCCTTTCAGGTGCTCAGAGACAGGCAATTCGATTCAGGAATTGGGAGTGATGAATCACATATAAAACCACAATTTAGACAGATAAAGTTCAACCACTATCTGTTAGAAAACGTGTTTTCTGTTTCGAACCTTTGTTGGCAAACAAATGGTTTGGAACAAACAAGGTAAAGATGCTCAGTGTGGAAATAATTGTTGCAGTACACAGACATCCTCCTGACGTAGGAGGCATTCACATGACACGAAAACAATTGATCTCAGTAGCGGGTCAAGTTAAAGAATATCTGTTTGAGTTTGTTTTAAACGGGATTCATTGGGACGCGTACTCACTTCCAAATGATGTACACTGGTGTCTACTTCAACGAAACTTGTTGCTAATCGTCCCCCTAAAGGTAAAGTCTGCCTTGCTCTCTCTTCGCACACTTCATTCTTTCCACCCGTATTATGGTCGATAGTGATGCTGAGAGCTTCGGAGCGAGCCCAATTGCAGCTGCTAAATAAATGACTCAAGATAACTACTTTGGTATCGACATCGTAGTATGGTTTCACGAACGCATTAAATCGGACTTTATTGAAATACGGGCCTGCGGTTTGCATCAGTGTTCCCATCAGAAGAAAATGGAGTGTCAACAACACAACAGTTGAATTAGCACACAAATACATGAGAAGCTGTGTCCAGAGTGGTGGACTCAACGTAACAATTCCATCGGATGTATTTTTTTTAAATCGATCCGGTCAATTCGCTGGTTGGTTCGCGCTAGAGGATGGTCACGGTACCACATAATAGTCTCGGGACATCTGGACACTGTGCAGATTCAGTCGCCGTTCTCCTCCACTAAAATCAAGCATACAACGAACAATACAAAGTCTCGTTCGTTGGATCAATACGGTATGCAATATTGATAGACTGGGTAATCGATTTACCTAAAAAAATAGTGAACTGAAACCTGAGAAAGCCGATGGCGTGCTAGTTCCACCAGCCTGTAAGTGAATGTAGAATCAAATACAGCGCAACGACCAGCAGGTCCGAACGTTTTATAAAAGGCAAACCAGTCGCATTATAATTTTGCGCGAATGGTAGGAACAATGCATCACACAAGGCACGAGATACCATTTGACGAAACGAGCGCAAAACACAAAGACTCTATCGATCCACGCAACACGTGACACACCCAGGTCCCTAGCTGGAGGTGTATCACGTGATAAGGAAGAGAAGATCGACGAACGTCTAGCGCTCCCATGACCATGCACGTTGCATAACAAGCCGATGGGAAACTCACCTAATTCGTCTATGAAAATAATGGATGGTTGGAGTTTGTGAGCCAAACTGAATGTTGCCTCGACGTATTTCTGGGTTTCACCGTACCACATGTTTACCAACGTCGAAATCTGGATACAAGACAGGTAGGGCGGAACTGTGAATCACATTAGGAAGGATAAGCCAACAGTGGCTACATATGTGATTTTATCTGTCCTAACTCGCGGCACAAAACATTTATGCAGGGCGCGTTTGACTGATTGACAGCACGGTTCAAAGGAAACAAAAAGTTGAAAATTTAGCGGTGGACGCAGTAGAGTTCGAATTCCTGGAACGGATATGTACTGGATTTAATCAGTCGATAAAGCACGTGATAAACAGTCAACGTAGTGAAATAGTTTCGGGATACCGTAAGTTTGGGTTTCCGAACTTGTGTCAGTTAAGAGAAGGAATCTTAGTGAAGCGACGACGTTCAAAACTAATGTCAATGATCACGATTAATACTAATATATCAGGACATATAACCAAATTTCAGATTTTCCGCCAACAGCTGAAGCTGGCTTGAACTGCCGGTTACATGGAACTAAGTTTGATGGCTGCATTATTCCATTAACTTTGCACCGTAATCTCACACCGCGCTGGGGACGTCCTATGATGCTGAGTTTGCGGCAAAATTGACAAGCCCCCAACTTTACAATCCGAGGGCTTAGAACCGCTTCGAGTATGTTCTCCGGGTCGTGTAGCTGCCAATTTCTGACAGCACAGTCACCATCCAAGTTGTTGGTGGCCCGGATAAATTTGTCTTTACCAGTTGCCCCAGAATAGTTATTACAGGTCGAAGACAAAGTGCACACGCAACTAAAATATACTTCGGAATGCACCAAATAAACGGCGCTGGAAAAAAGGTGATAAGTTTGGGCGAAAGCAGTAAACTTTGAATGGTTATTGTAACACCGAAGTCTAAAAATAGATGGATGCATACATACTGATACCCACAAATAAACAAAGCAATCTAATTAAGCAATTACAATACCTCCCTAAAAGAAACAGATTTGGAGGAGCTGCCATTTCTAGTATATGTGATCCCCAGCGAGAAAACACAATACTCCCTACACTGGGTTACTTCTTCAGCCAAGACTGCTTTACCACAGTCCCATAAAAGACCACCTTTCAGTACCCAAAAGATCCCCTGCAGGTGTCCCTCTGATACGAAACACTTTCAAGACAAAATCCTTATACTGGGTCTTTGTGTATTTCAACACCGAATGGGTAGTTGGCCAATTGAATCAAGAGAAGATGGTTTTTAAGTATCTGCGAGCCTCAAAGCATAGAAGGTACATCACTACAGATTCCCCCAATACCAAGGGGTCATATTAATGAAAAAATGATCTGTCTCCTCAGGTGGTCCTCAAAAGATATTTGCAGTACCAATTTTTCGTTCGCAGAACACTTGAAGATAATGACCAGCAGTGGCACCCTCTGAGGACTAACTTCTTTTGATGGTGATCAATTCGGAAGGACAGGGTTGTATCAGGCAAGAATTGGACAAACCGGTAGACCATACATAGTCGGATGTAGTGTCTTCTTGTGGAATGCGTACCCACACAGACCACATGGAAGAATACCGTCCGATTTTGATGTGAAGGATCTATTGAATTTGGCAGCCATCCTAGTAAGCAAACCATCGAAACTTAGGGGGACGACGTGTAGGTTACATCACGAGTGGACGAGGAAAGTCAAATTGAAACAAACCTTATACACAAAATTCTGTAGGTTCGTAGTGCCCTGTACCACACACACAAACCCAGTAATCTTGTCTTGATTCAGCCGAAAACCAGTCATGGAAACAAGTAGTGACCCAATCATCCAACAACACCGGTCTGGTGGTCTGCATCGCCTTAACACACTAAGGACCTGAACTCGTTCATCAAGTCCAAGAATTGAAGCGATTGACGGCGAAACGGGGTAAATTATCTTTCTCAGAATAGGATTTCATCTAGGTGCAACTATACTTAGAGATCCCTGTCGGTTAGGGTAGCGTAGTCCTAGTCCTTATAAGATTTATGCCGACAAACAAACGAAGAATTCAAAAGCTACTCTAAATCCGTGGTGCTCTTTGGTGGCGGCTTCCTTAACATCTCAACAGCCTGGGAAAGCTAGGTTTTAAGCGACCATTCCCAACGGAAATGGTGTGCAAACAAGATCGTCTTCTGTTCTTTTCGCGCACCTGTCAATAAATTATATAGTGACGGTCAGCCTGCGCTTTGTGTCAGGAAGGTATGATGCCTGAAAATACCCCCAGAATGCCCGGAACTTCCTGAGACCCACTAAAATCTCAATAGAGAAGCCGGCAAACATCCAGGCTAGTCAATCAAATCAGCAAAACCCGATGAGCGTTTTGGCACACCATAGAAGCACGACCGACTATGATAAGTGTTGAGGTATTTCATAGAAGCACGGGCGATGTTGATCCGTGTTCACTAAGCGCTGATCACACAGTCTGGATCAATGTCGAAAAATGCCCTTTAAGTAGAGTGGGATCGTCGTAACTTTTTCGCTCGCACGGCGTTGCAACAAAGCTGTTGTGTGGCTTGTCGACGGATCTTTCTTCGGCACTAGGCACTGAAACGGGAACAGCAGTCAGATATAATACTTTGTATACATTTTATGCACTCAGCGGATAGAGCAAATCATAGCAACGAAGACTTGAACAATCAGTTCCTGGAGCTACATCAGGCATACCTGTAGATTGATGAAGTAGGCCTTCGCTTGACGGGCCATTGCACGGGCGAGCATGGTTTTTCCACAGCCAGGTGGTCCGAATAAAAGCACACCCTTAGGTGGCCGAAGAAGTTTCGAAAAGTAGGGAACTAACTGTAATTGCTGGAATGGTGCGATTACGGACTCTTTTATTTCATCTATCACAGAATCCAGGCCGCCGATGGAATGCCAGTCGGTAGATAGAACACGCGTGTCCACGAGGTTGGCAACGATTCCTACCTCATAGTCGTTCAGTGGTGGTACTGTTTTGATACCCATTTGGGCGAACAGCTGCTGTGCCTGTAAATCAAAATGTTGCAGAATTACAGAAAGGTTAGACGACAGATAAATTTTGCAGGCCCAATGCTACAATGGCGGAACCAGGACACTAAACGAACCCGACACAAGGAGAGCTCATCTCACGGAACAAAATCACCAAATAGGAACATAGAGTAATTGTGGTAAGAGATTTCAGTTCAAACATTGAAAGGATTGACACGGAATCATCAGACACGTTAATCTTCCATCAGCAAGATAAGGGAGACCTGAGTAATGAAGCGGCGCACGGAAGTGAAGTCCGCGTATCTTTGTGGCGGAACAAGCTACGCATGTTTGCTGGGAACCCTTCAAAGGTTCACGACCTGGTTCGCACTGTTTAAGGTGGAACAACTAAGCGTAGTCCACAGGTTTCCGTCAATGGTATGTTGACTCCAACCCAGTTTGCAAATGAGCGTATTTTGCCAGTTGCGTACAATTGGGTTTTCAAGTAAAACACAAGATTGATGGAAACTCTGGGAGTGAGACTAGCTGACAAGTCTCAATAAGGATGAAATCAATGGCAGGTCGAAAAGATCTCAGCAACCACATGATTAGTGTGTTCCACCAAAAAAATACATTGCGATATTTCAAATACCAGCCTAGATGGAACACTAGACGGCCTTTGGGCAAAACATTCAGTTGAAGCGAGAAACTCCGGTAAGTCTTCCGTTAACAACAGCTTAGTTTGCAAGTTAGTCTAATTAACCTAAAGATCGCGCGGTTTCGAGTGGGTTTAGTGAAAATGGTGAGGCGGCGGGGCGAAAAAGATAACGCACTTCCAATAACTGTTACCACGGCGACCACCCGCATGGAATGGCAGAATTTGATGCGGATGATAAATGGCCATCATTTGGTGATGTCATAAGTTTGCAGAGGTTACAAGTATATCTACACGAGGTTTCTTCAGGTCAACTGATTGTTTGAGAACAAAGGAACGCATGCTCATGGAGGGACCAAATGAAATGAGTGCTCAGGTAACACAGATTCACGTTATAACAGGTGCTAAGACCAAACACGAGAACATACGTGAGTGATCATAACCTTAAACAGTCAACGCACGTTCGCGCTCTGAGGTCACATCACGTTCTACTCAACGACCTGTTGATACAGTCATACATTATGTTCGTAACATCAAACGCACATGCCATGACCAATCATCCTTTGGATTATAACGGCCTTTGTGATAACCCTAATTCCGCAGCTCAGCAGTATCTGTGACCCCAATTAAAAGGCGGTTTCGAATCGGTACAATGATGAAAAAAGATAACCACTCCTGTACTTGTAGAAAGCGACCACAAGTGTGCGGTATCCATTTGGATTGACGGTACAATGATGGAAAAAGATAACCACTCCTGTACTTGTAGAAAGCGACCACAAGTGTGCGGTATCCATTTGGATTGACCCACGGGCCCAGCCGATTCCCCCCCCCCATCACTGGGGATAGTGCGAATTTTATATTCAAACCAGTGATGCAGGGTACATAAAATTGCATTCTTCGCTTTCCACACGGCGGTAACAGACATCGATCGAGACTTAACCAACTTGGTAATGTAATAATAATGGGTGCACATCTACGATGTTTGCGATCCCGACAAACGCCTTACGGATCCGGTGGAATATCGGTTTCAACAGCTGGCTGGTTACGTATTGTGGAAACGTAGCTACTGGTAAGCGGTCAAATTCATTATAAAATACCCATTGAACCTCATGGGGAACCCGATACTTACTGAAACATGGACTGCAAATTTTACCCGATGTTTCTGGTGAAGATGCCTTCGAGTCGCGAAACCCTCTGATACAGGGAATTTCTCATCAGGATAGATGACCTTTTGGTTGGCGACCACAGCCTCTCTCTCTCTGTCCGCCGGAGTCTTGATAAGAATGAAATGTCACGCGCTGCTTAGTTTCTCGGGATATACTGTAAGCCCCATGACCTTAGCGTTATCACGTCGATGACGACCTTGGTGTAACCAACTATTCACCATTAGTCAGATTATTTGAATAGCTTGTGCCTGTGAAGCTAAGACGAATACCTAATTCAAAGTACCAGCTGTGCGAACGAGTCAGAGGCGCCTGATCTCAAACGGTTTGGCTATGGGGGCCCTTTAAATGCGTAAATTCGACACAATCCGGGGGTTGCGTTAGGGGTACAGCCACGTTTCCCGGGTTAATACGGGAACAATCGAAAGAACGTGTTAGTATATCATAGCTCGTTTTCGACACAAAATGCAACAGATCAGTTATGGTGTAAATGAAAATGCTTCACTGGTTGATTTCGAAGGTCGCAGGCTTACTAATCGGTAACTAGAATTCGGTACATTGTGTCGGCTTCCGGGTTGGTAACCACGCGTTTCAGGTATATTTGTCTGCGTTTTTATGACTAATTTTGCGGATGGTAGTTGGGACAATGACGTCGCTGGATCGCTGTTAAACTGTCATGTCACTGGAAATTACAGATCAAGATCAGGATTAATCTAAATCGATCACGCGTAGTGCTGGGTTTATCTTGATGGTCATAAACAGGGGAAGAGGGTGATCTTGGAACTGGTGAATTTGGAATAAAACGCGGATGAAAATGATGACTGAGCGACGAAGGGTGACCGGTAAGTCCGCGAACGCTGGACTGATCGAATGTTGTGTAGATTTCAAACCACAGACGCTGAACGCGATTTCTTCCACATCAGGTCACTACACTGGTTAGTCAGAAGTTCAGGTGAAGTTGGAAGTAACGGTGTGAAATAACGAAGCAACGAAACCTATTGTGCATCAGGCTACGAAACGAGTACAACCTGTGAAGTTGCGGAAAAGTGAAGTTGATGCGATTGTTTGCGATATTCTTGCTTTCAAAATTCGTAAATCTAGACCGTCGATAATCATGTCGATTTGTACTGTCTTTCGTGCCTGGGGGGAACAAGTATACTAAGCTGTCGATATCAACAAGTATCAGTTCATCGCTGGTTCAGGTTTTCGACTTTATTCGAGCACTGTGAAAATGCCATAATCAGGGATGAGATTGTGTCCATCCGTTCCAAGTGGCCACGTAATTTACGTCATCAGACTATTGAAAGGCATACAATGGTTTGACGGAGGCAACCTAATTGCTCGCTCTTCCAAACCCTCTCTGCATACGACATACGCAAATAGAAAGGAATCCGTTTATTTTCGGTTTTCCGGATTTTAAGCCACGCGCACTGAGAAAGTAACTGGCAAGATGGTTTGAGGCAATTGAATTTACGTCATCAATCAAGGACAAGATAAGTACTACCACATTCAGTGCATGGGACAAGACGAAATCCAGGGAGATGGATTTAATACCAAGCAAACAGGAAACGGCAATCGGAGTAACCGATAAGGAACAACTATGCGCGCATGCAACACTATAGAATTAATCTACCTGGCAACTATCTAAACCACGTGAGCCAGCTGCCATCACATGACAGTTACCGAGTGTCCTGCCGAACACTTAACTGCTTATCGGACGAACGTCTTTTATACGTGTCCGGTCCAACCCCAGTTACTTTCCCGGATCGGTGAAAATCAGGATCTAGTGCAGGTGTCAACGGAAAATGTACACTGCCAGACAACTAACATTAATCATGACCGTGACCACATGCGTCTACCTCGGTCCTGGAGCAGTCTCTTCATCAAGGTGATGGATTAAACTGACTAATGGAGGTCACACAAACACCCGCCGTACTATAGTCCCCGTTAGATTTATAAATTAAAAAAAAACAGTCCATTATTCGAAGAACATGCATACAGTTCATCGTGTATTATGTTTAAAAGGACCGTCTCTATCAAGCTACCCACAGAGCTTCTAATCCGTAATTTCTGTTTAACAACTCTTGAAGACATTCTAGCCAAAGAGAACGTGAAAGCCGAGACTTGCACTAACCTGAGAGAATAAGAACACACCACCTGACGATGCGGTCTGAAGCGACGCATCCGAAAACATTAATTTAGTGGTAATATCGCTGGTAATATCTGCTGGATTTAGTCGTTCGAACTTGGCCGGCACGAGATATCCTTGGTGTCTCACATGAGCCAGCTATATGCAAAATCCGAGAAAAATGACTAGCTGTTAACTCACAGGAGGTAAACGTAAACGCTTCATCCCTTGTGTCCAAAAAAAAAAACAGATTTACATACGAAGTAAATAAATCGCCCTACTTTAATGGTATTTCGTACACTGTCTAGTTTTCTCGCATCAAACGGTCTTATGTGACCCACAAGCTTAGTGAATTAAAAAAAATGTATCGAGAAAACGGTGAATTCCCTGCGAGACTTAATGCGTTGGCGTGATTTTGCAAAGAAAAAAAACTAATCGGAAATGCATACGCTTTCCTTCGAACAGTGCTATTCACATCCAGTAAAAGGTAACGAGCGGTGTGATTCACGTGTACTGTCGAAATGAAGACAGGTGATTAAAAGGTTGAATTGAAAGTTGAGGGCTTCCGCTGGAATCAAAATAGATTATTCGAGTCATGACTGGTATGTTTGCTTGCGCGTCTGTGTGCGTGTGTGTGCACAACAGGTGACATAACACCAGATTTCCGAAGCAGTCACCTGATGCATCCCCTAAAGGACACGACTAAAGTACACTTTGCGATGGTCAATCTGAAGGACGTGTGCTTAAGTATACGTTGTGGTGCACGGTTAGGCAGTTGATGGCACATAGAATACCTCACCCGTTTTCTAGCAATTCGCTTTTCTTTTGCGGTCGGATTGATCTGCTCGACCACATAGAATAACAGCTTTAGGGACAGACCAATACCGACCAGGGAAATCAGCAGCTGGATTAACCTCTGAAAAGTACATGGCGAAAACAGTGTGATTAGGAGCAGCACATACAAAAAAGCTGAAAATCGGCTAAGTTGGTGTGCGACAAGAATCACATGTTACTTACACCAGTAAATTTATATCTCCGTAGAATCTATGCTGCTTCGCTGGATTTACTTGCAGAATTCTGGCCTTTGTTTTCAAGTGTCAGACATGAAAAAATATTTGTGGGACGCTCAAATAAATTGATACACTGTCTACACATGTACAGTAAGACGTTACACTCCACTCGGTTCAATCATATTCAAGGAAATTGAGGAAAATACAGAACCACGTACAGAAATTTATCGTCTTCACGGTACAAGTTATCTGTTATACTGCACAATATACCTCTGAAGTCGCTCTCAAGAATTTACCACTGAGTGCGCTTTCTTCGTCAACGTGGAGCGTACACTTTGATCCCGGAGTCTAAACTAAAACCAGGAGTGTCCCACGTGTGGGAGTTACAACAGTAAGCCTTCATACTCAGCTGTGTGTAGAAGCTGCGCAATCCGGTGTTCGCCGGTCATGCAGCTGGCTGACCTGTAACATGTTTCATTCTGTCGACCATAGAAGTGCACTATACCAGGTTCTGTATTCTTTGCTTGAAAGAAGACTGACACGACCCAACGCACTGAATTTCGGGTTCACGCTTGCGTGGGAGCGTTCCGCTGCACGACGTACCACACTACTGTGAGGCTTTCTTTGAAGATACGGAAACTCAGTCACTCCTGCTTGCCATCAGTATACGGTGACTTTCATATAATGAATAAATCTTGCATTCTTTTGTGCTGTTCCATGCACCTCCCGATACAAGTGCGCCCTGACCGTTTTGAACTCCGCATCAAATTGATACTGTTCATATCTCGGACAATATGCCGGTCCGTTTACCCCGATATTGAAGTAGTGAGTGTGGGTATTTATCTGCCGGTTGTACCAGCATGACCGTGAATAAGGAAATAACGAATAGACTTGGGAGTATTTGGCAGTGTACGACCTAGAAATGGAATTCAAGCCTGCTTTCGACACTCAGGATTCAGTATGACTCAACACAGCTAGCTGGATCACAAATTCTGGATTGCTTGTTGAAGGGTTAAATACCCACTATAATGTTCGGGTGTAAAGGGAAATTAGAAAAATTGGGCCAATATCAATCGGCAACTAATATTCCTGTCCAAAGCACGGTAGCCCTAACTTAACGCGATCGTTAATCCCAAGTCCCTGAGCTCGGGTAACATGCTACAACGTACATCCTATGATTATGCAGTGAATGCATACTAGTATGGGGACTTTGTTGTATTCTACTCATGTGTACTTTGCAGAGAAATAGCTTTAAGACGCATACCGCTTCCGAACATGAGGAAAAACGGCACACGGAGTGACGACAAACAATTCAAAGAGAGAAAAATGATGAAAAATTGCGAATATCAACAAAAGGATTACTGGTTGCACAACCGAAGAATGTTCCGCATTTTGAAAGTGTAAAACTGGATTATCGTTAGGCAAACTTAGATCAAAACGCAATGAAGCTGCATAGGGGGAGCACTCAAGCTGTCCTGTCCCGTCCGTTTGTGTGTGTGTATGTTTAGATCTGTAGGTATATCCAAGCGTTAAGGACACGAATAACGGACCAAGTTACGCATGACAGTAGAACAAGGTCGAGGTCACATCTGTACGCCGCAAGCACACGTTTCATGCACATCTATGGTGGTAGTAGGAAGAACAGGTGAATTTGATGGACAACAAAACTAGACCGATTCGGTTATCTAGATTTGAATGACTCGCATTCACAGCATTCGTGCTCGAACAGCTAACCTCTTGAGTTCCAGCAACTAATCTGCTTTGTCCACAGGATGGAAATGACGACATGTAAAAAACTGTGTTTTAACTTCCTGGATGAATCAGTGGTGTTGGATGAGTGCAAAAGGTATCAGGCTTAGTTCAACAGTCACGTGGGAAAGTAACCATCACCATTCCCCTCATGATGAAGCCTGAAAAACGTCCACAGGATGGAAATGACGACATGTAAAAAACTGTGTTTTAACTTCCTGGATGAATCAGTGGTGTTGGATGAGTGCAAAAGGTATCAGGCTTAGTTCAACAGTCACGTGGGAAAGTAACCATCACCATTCCCCTCATGATGAAGTCCTGAAAAACGGAACGCAGGGTTACACTGGCTGTGAAACTTAACTTACAAAACGCACGTGAATCTTTGCGAAATAGTGTCACCTGGCACTCACAACGTAGTCTATCTGAGAATGATTCACACTCAGCCTAGAGTGCGTCCATGATGATGAAACATCCACTGGGATTTTAGCTGGTCGTGGAGTTAATTCTGGTCCCACTCCGTCCCACCAATTGCGCAGATGTTTAACAAGGGCCTCCAGGGTGAAACCAGTCGGAAAATACTCGTGATACCTTTCGGCGACACAACCCGTGAGGGAGTCAGGTGGGCCCACAGACGCTGCCGACAAGGTAAAGAGACCAGCGATACTGGGAACATTGCGTGTAAGCGGACGACAAACCGAAGCCGAGGTCAGGTGAAAAGAACGTGGAATCGGGATGTGTTTGGAAGTTAACCTGGTGAGATGTTCCATAAGCCTTCAAAAAAAATTAGGGAGCTGAAACGAATATGGAAAGCGGAGAGCGGCAGGAAGAAGATAAAACGGAGTAATACAGAAAAGCTAATAATCCTAAACAAGCATTACTGAAATCGGAAGCTACGCCTCTTGATGAGCTGATGAAACTGATAGTGGGCGACAGGTGAATCAGGTGGATTCACATTTCCCACACGCGAATCCGATATCCTCGGTTCAACTGAACTCTGCGGCAGGCTTTGTTTCACATAAAAAATATGGTAAGGAAATGGTTCAATGGTGGTAAGCTTCAATACAACAAAACCTCAGTACGCAATGAATCATTCGTCCGAAATATGAGGTTTGTGTTTACAGGAACGTGACATATGTGAGGTTTCAACAAGGCTGACTGTTCTCTGAGAAAGTCGCACAACACACCCTTCGGCAAGCCTGCTACTAATTTAAACCTAATATACACAAAGTGATCAACGCATACATCGATTAGGGGTCGAAATACTTATGCTATTTTCGTTAACAACACATTAGCCAAGTTTTTAAGTGTTTATAGACAGAACATAGGAGACTCCTAGGTATTTTAGGGCGGACACGAACGATTTTTAGTGCTGCGCATCGGGCCTTTCAACCAGGCAAAGAAATATGGAAAAGGCTGTCGAACAGAGTCCTGTCTGTAATTAGTGGAAAAAACAGGCAACGTTCATTCCTTGTATTTGACTGCGGATCACCAAACCAAAGGTGAGTTTGGTCTGCTACCGAATTATTATGTAAAGTTGTCACTGTTGTCATATTTTAAGTCCCAAATGGTGACAGAGGACAATGAGGTTAGGAGGAGAAGGGTAAAGCGGCTGAGCCAGTTACGAGTGCTAGTTCATCCATGTCAACACAAAAAGACGGTCGACGGCAACGTCCGCGTAGAACACTGGTGCTTAAGTGTTGTACAACCTACCAAAATCTTCACAACACTGGTATTTGACTGCGGATCACCAAACCAAAGGTGAGTTTGGTCTGCTACCGAATTATTATGTAAAGTTGTCACTGTTGTCATATTTTAAGTCCCAAATGGTGACAGAGGACAATGAGGTTAGGAGGAGAAGGGTAAAGCGGCTGAGCCAGTTACGAGTGCTAGTTCATCCATGTCAACACAAAAAGACGGTCGACGGCAACGTCCGCGTAGAACACTGGTGCTTAAGTGTTGTACAACCTACCGAAATCTTCACAACACTGTGGCCCGTTAAACAGTCGAAAATAAAAAACAACGCGAAGAACAATCCCGTAAGTCCATGGGTTCCTAAACTCATCCCGTAGATTTACCCCGAACCGCATTTTGAAGAAGAGGTTTAATGCCTTTTCGCATTTCCATTTCATATACTGTCGGACGAATTCACCCCTCTCTTCGACGACATTGGTTGCCTCTAAGGGACGTGTTGGAGGAGGCTGGATGGCTTCTCAAAGCACCTGACTCATCGCTCCAGATGACGCTTTCGCTAGTGGGTTATAAAGTCGCTTTCCTCATTGATTCCTTTGTCAACGGAAGCATTCTCCCAACCAGACGACCGAAAAAACTGGCATGTAGCGCGATAGCTTCTTGTGGCGAACACCCTCTCCAGCTTCTTGGACTTGACTACCCACCAGCACTATTTGGTTTTCCTCAATCTCTTTACTATTTGTATATGCGTTCACATCAGTCTCATCTGAACAGTTCTCCTCTCCTGGCGCCATTGTTGTAAATAGTTTACACCGAAAGCACTGGCCAGGAGTTTCATTCTTACGGAAGCTCATTAGAAGTTCGCACCATTGGCTGTGTCGGATAACCGACATGTGGAAGAGCGTGTTACAACGTGACGAATCGGCCCAAAAATATTTTCTCAACGTCGCAGTTAACATCGACACCACGGGTAAGCACCGGTGTTCGTGTCAATAAGCGTTGACCGCAACTAAGCCGGATAGCATGAAGATGAGTAGTTACCGGAATCCAGCCAAGTAAAGTACGTTCATTCCTCTCACACTTTATGTACACGGCTTTTCCATCGCAATTACCATAAATCTCTAAAATGTAAGGCGGAAAGACCGGACTCACCTGGAGTCTTGTATGCATGCTTCCGATGTGCAACACTTATGTCGACTTTAAAAAAGTAATGTAATGGAAGGAGACGATCGGTGGGCTACTTGAAACATCCTGTGTAGAATGAATTTCAGACATCCTGACAGGATTTTGTCCGATTTTAATGGGCATCGCATTGAATAGGGGAATCCGGCTAGAGAGTTCACAGCAAGATCATCGAGATGTTCATCAGCGGACTGGAGGAAGGACTGGGAACGTACAACAATGAGGGCGATTGATAATTTCCGGTTGCTAGAGCTGAAAAGTGATGGTTCAACTGAGGCATCCCTTTGAGTCTTTAAATCAAAGGTCTGGTCCAGAAGGCGGTGCGCGATCTAGGGTTTCGTTTTGAGCCCCTCAATCCAGCACTAGACGCAAACACCAGCTCTGTAAAGCAATAGCCTGGCCCATTTGTCTATGAGGGGCTGCCTTACACAAAAGCGCAGGTAGTAAGCCACAGATATGACTAGTGATGCTGCTGTGCGCCCTAGATGTGTTTATAGTCGAATAGAATTCTTGTTAATATATAAACGCATCTCAATCATCTTACATGGGACATTGGGTGCCATGGTCAAACATCACACGATCGAAGCGGAAGATTGGTGGTGTTAACCTTTTCTAACCCGTTTGTTTTCACAAAAAGTCTAGCTTGGAAGCTGAATTTGGAGCCGGTGCCGCAAATGTATACAGGAAATCCCCATCACAATCACCTGCATGAGTTAGGGGCTGGACGGGAGCCACTACTTTGAACGAAGAAACTGATCTCGAGCGAGGACATCTTCAACGGTCAGCATACAATGCATTTTATTTTACTCAGAAGAGCCTTGGCCTTAACAGGTCTCATAGAAAGGCAACAGACAACCATCCTTCGTTCGAGAGCTCATCCTCATCACTTTAGATTACAAGTTAGTAGGGGAATGTGGAATCGCCAAAGTACCACTTCACCAAAATTATCCCAATCGCCCAACGCACGCGACCGAGTCTTCGACTTCCGGAGGAAGTCCAGTGCTATGTGGAACTGATGTGCTGAAGTATTATCTCCACCACACGTTAACATCAATAAGTGGAAGCTTCAAAACAGACAAGGGCAATAAACAGCAACCACATGCGGTCAAGGCAGCCCTACAATAACATCCCATCTAGCCAAGCGAACCTGTATCTGTTGTCCATTTTGCCTGTCTTTTTGAGTTATGCCGATGGATTCTTGTGTAGTGCAGGTAACGCCAAAGGAGGTCTGTGCTCAGCCACCCGTCGCGCGGTATATACCCAGGGAAATATGACAGTTCCTAACCACATCGGGTGACCCCAAATTGCCAAATCCAGCGGTGACAACTGGACCGATGGAACAGTTCGCGTGAGGAGAAAAATAATGATCCGAAACACTCGTGAGCTGCCCAGGCCAAACCCATTTGGTTAAGACTACCCACTGTGAGCTAGAGGGCAAGATGGCACCCATAGAAGTGTATCTCCACAGCTAACAAAACCCTAGCGCATCGAAAAGTGTGGCTAGTGTTTTTAAAAGCAGCGCCTTAAAAGGCATATTCATCATAAAGAAGTCCCAGTAGAAAAAACGCAGCTTTAGAGATAAACGTGATGCAGTGAGGAAAACCTGGAGGCAGCAGTGTCCCATCGACAGAAGCATTTTCTTTCAAATTTGGCGGCTAACTTGAAGCGTCTTCGGCAGCTGTCTCCACTTGTGTTACACAATGATGAAGTTTTCCATTCTGAACGGAGTGAAAATGTTAGATACTTGCATATGCATGACACGTACAAGTATACTAACGTGGTCACGTCGCTGAAGTCGTCATACACACACTGCACAGAAAAGCAGGTATACTGCAATAAAAACGATCAAGTGGAAGCTCCGAAGATACTGAGATTCTAGGTTACTTTGTCCTATGTTTTATCCTCAGTACGTTACGTCTGGAACTGTTATTGTACAGGCTTATCGATCAAGCCGAAATCAAATTGGACTAAGAGCACAAAATGAGGTCGGCCAGTGATATGCGTAAATGTTCACTCTGGAAGACCAAAGATACAAAGCATTTCCATTGTGATGTTTATTCCAAGAAAAATTGTAATTACAAGAAATAGATTATGTGATCTACCCTGAGTTTCTCCCCAGGGAAGTGCTGTACGCCCTACCTAAAGCCATTACTCTGCCGTGGTGGTCATCTTTCAATGTTCTTGAGGCAACACTGACCGGATATCAGTTCCCTGGGGTTCAACCACATCAAAAAGATTAATGCTGAGCAGCCCCCCATGAATAGCGGGTCATTATACTGCGTGAAATCGTATTCTGAGGTCTGTGGTTAAAACTATACTATCCTCTGCGATGGGAGTATTAAGAAGACCAGCATATCCACATTTATGATAGTAGCCATACTGCCTTCCTCCGAGGAAAGGTGGGCCCTACAATTCGCACACTCCGATCGTCCAAAGGTCAACCATGACCGACGGCACAGTCGAAATACTTTTAAACCCAAACAATCTGGTCCAACTCAGAAGGTACTCGCCCCGGTGAGAGTTAGAAAGTTATGCCTTACTCCCTGAGCCCTCAGATCAGGTCAACCCCCTGCAGGTAGGTGGGTCGAGAGATGGGGTCGCTAGCACACCCAAATGATCACAGAGAGTCGTTTCGATCGACAGCTATGATTCCTACATTGAAAAAAAAGTTGCAAGAATATCGCGAGGAAGCCAATTTGGCATCAGTTTAGTGGCAATATCCTCCAAGGCGATCTCTGGTATTATCCAATGCGGTTGATCTTCAACTGGGAAAGTCAAATTAGCGAGAACCAAACTGGCCTTGGTCTTAACCTAGGTTGCATGGATCACATCTTCACGTGGTGACAAATCCTGGAGCTGTGTCACTCCTTCCAACGACCAACAGTGACAGTATTTCTCGATCTCAGACCTTACTACTCCTTTAAGCGTAAGAGATTGTGGCAGTGACTGGCCACGAATGGTGCCCTTTCTAACTTCTCTTACACGGATTCTGTATGCCTCCTCCCATGGATGCATACGTTTCTACGTCAAACCCCCTCCTGAGTTAAGTGTCAGGTAAGGTGGTCCTTCCCTATATTTCTAACTGCGCCATCGATATGCTATTTGAGTCTTCAATATCTGTCCCAAACAACTCGAGCGTCGAAATACCCTCGTGAAACTGGCGAAAGATGAAGTCACTTCTAGAATCAGGAAAGCTAGTCGATAATTGTCGAAACCATTGCGTGCAGATCTTCGAAGACTCTCAATGTTCGACCACCGGTGTTTCCGAAAAATTGCGTAGAACTGGAAAGAACATCAGATCCATGGTGCTGAGGTATACCAGATGATTACCCAGAAAGATAACTCTCCCACCTTCGGTCACACTCCATAGGTTACTTCGTATCGTTCAGCTGTAGCACCCTTTCGGTGCCTAACTGCCATGCCACCCAAAGGGAGCAAGAGGGCTGGGATATTGCCAGGTTGCCCAAGCCTAGACAGGGAAAGTCGAGAGGCAGAGGTCGGGTTCGAACCACGGACCTTCCGGTCAGTAAATTCGCGCTCTAACCACTTGGGCCATCTCGCCCCGGTCACTTCGTATGCCAGAGGATCGTTTGCCTCGTAGAGCACTATTTGCTCAGCTGAGGGTTAGATGAAGACGACTCAAAGGCACTCAGCCCGTGACTTGGTAGCAAAGCATGAAAGTCCTTCCCCGTCAACTGTCGCGTTGATAATCGCTGTCTCCTCAGATGGTCGGTGACCCTGATAAATATGCTTGCATCACGCAGCCAGTGGCGATCTTGCCTAAGATTTATTGCCTCCGGTGCACAGCTTTCACTTCCTGTTATGCTTGTCAGACGTCATCGAACGGATTGCACCATCACATTCAATGCTTAGCTCTTACTCCCTCATTCTCTGCTCTATCTTCGGTGAACGGAGCTGTAGCAGTTGGAACCACTGCATTTCGGTGCACGATTTGTGGGGTGAAGAAATAGTTTACCGGACCGAGTGTCAACTGTCCGTAAGTTGACTAATGGATGCTCAAGGCCCAAATGAAATGCTCCCATCATAACAAACACCACATTCGAACAGCGACTTGAAAGGAATAAAGAAAGTCGCAACTAAAAAACGAACTTCCAAAATACATATTTCTTTTCGTAAAAACAGCGCCCAAGTCATTCCATGGAATGGAGTATGGCAATGTGGAGGAAATGCAACAGTGGTGTGTGCTGGTCGAAGCAACTCAAGAAAAGTGACCTGAGAGTTCGAGGAAATGTTATAATGCATAGGGGAAATCTAGTTCAAGTCGAACATCGATCCGCACGATTGCGTAACAGCAAACCAAGAAACTGTACACACCGAATACGGCAGATGCAACTGAACTGGCAAGGAAAAGATAGAGCAAACAAAACAAACTGAGACCATAGGCGGAACAAGTTATGGATGCACATACATGACTCAGACCATGGGCAATTAAGGGAGTCCAGGATTGAAACTTGCTATTGGGTAAAATCCAATGGACTATTTGCAAAGTCGACGCTTTTGTCAGATGCATGAGGAAGAGCACATGGATGGGGATGAGTGAAAGCGTAAGCAGCACTTCACCCCAACGCAACCATGGTGAGTAGGAGGCTCGGAATAGCCGCCTAGTAAATGTAGGCACCGGCGGATTGAAGCTTTCCATGTAATGGGACTGAGCAGACATTGAAATCAAGAGGAGAAGAGTGAATCCGGCGAGCGGAAGAAATTTAGAACTACGTTCGAAAGACGTGCCGACGAGACCAAACAGAAACCAGGGAAGAAACAGGACCTGTTGAAGGAAGGGAAAATGAGAGCATAGACATACGAAACGATGGGTTGCTCTAAGCATGTGACACGTTGAGGAAAAAACATAACGTAATTTTGGATGAAAATGCGAGATAACGAATGACAGATGACACATGAACGATGGAATGAAGCTTACGCGTAGATCAGTTAGGGTCCATGAGCACCAGTAAAGAAGTGAGATAATCACCAGCACAACAGTGATGTTGATAGCCACGTGCAAAAGTAGGCACTCGGAACACGACATGGGGTTGTCAACGTTCAGGAGTATCTTCTGTGGAAGTTTTATTGAAAAACGGTGAACAGGAAAAAAAGAATATGAATGAACATGGTGTTAGCTAAACAAAAATGACAATAAATTGGTTGGTAGACTAGTGAAACGAGCGCAAACGCTGGCGTACAAAGAGCTGGCGTCTGAGTTTGAAACTATCTTCGCTGATCGGTTCCACTAGACAGCATTGTGCAAATTGGAATTGTGTTTGTGTAGTAACAGTATTTTTCTGAGCTTAGTTCTCGGTCTGAGCTCCATAGGCTAGCGTTCACGTCAAAACAACCACCAAAGGTGCACAGGGTATATTGACGCCTAAAACCAAGTCAAGAACACTTGTACAGCGCTTCATATATATAGTGTAAGTGGTGACAACTTTCTGGAAATTCTGATGTCTTCTGGATGCAGAATTGCCAACCGGCGTTCAGCCAATACTGAGTCACGATTGGCTGTTGGGTCCAGATTCTAGACCAATCAGATCTCGGCCTGATGCCGGACCGGCAAGCGTCCCGAATTTTTGGCCAAACTTGCATGGGATAGGTTTTTCGGACGTAACAGCACCTAACTGCGAGCGTTAAAACGGGATCCGTGTGGAATTACACCTAACAGTTTGCAAGCTCGAACGTTTCTGCTTATAGCGTTCGTGGCTTTAGGTTGTTTCCGTTATTTTTTTCAATTCGTACACAGTGTTTGCACTACTAATCAAACTAGATCGACGAAATAAATTATCTAGTGACCTTCATCCAATTGCGGTCACAGATGAAATTTCACTAAAGGGAAGATAAGGAAAGCCTAAAAGATATTATGTAAAATGCCAAGTATCCGTAAGAATGAATACACGTTGGGAGATGCAATGTGGTCAAATTAATTGGATTATTGGCCCAGTATTCAAGATCAGCTAAGATTGCATCATCATCATCATCATCATNGCGTCCAGCATATTAAACGCGCCCACGAGGTCTGCCCTATGGTCAACTACATCGGAAATAATCTTTGTGTCTCCGGTGCGAGATTGATCAAGTGGTTAGAGCTCGAATTTACTGACCGGAAGGTCCGTGGTTCGAACCCGACCTCTACCTATCGACTAGCCCTGTCTAGGCTTGGGCAACCTGACAGTTTCTCAGCCCTCGTGCAGCCTTCGAGTGGCATGGCAGCTAGGCACCGAAAGGGTGCTGCAGCTGAACGATTTTTTTAGTTTCCTCAAGTCAACCACTGTGGATTGTGCTCTTGCGTTCCTAAACCGCATCACTGTCTGCTAGTGATCAGCAGAAAACGGGTTCTACGCAGTGAGAATCAGTCAGAATCACTACTGGACGCATCTAGGACAGCTAGTGCCCAGCTCATGAGGAGTTTTCAGCGCTACCACTTACCCTGTTCAGTCTTCAATCACACTGTATCCGCCATATCCTCAGAGCCTTCCAAAAAGTTCCAAAGATTTTCAACCTCGAATGACTGCCGACAAAATGGCTTCATTTCCACCGAGTTCAGAGGAGCGAAAATAGGGAGGATGAGAAGAGCGTCTAAAGCTTAACTGATATGG